TGAACGTGTCACGTTGGGCTCTGGGAAATTGTGATGGTCAGTTTCACTATTATCAGACATGTGGGGGAAAGTAGAAAAGGAAAAATAACAATTAATTGCAGCTCTGTGTCCCACAGTGTTGGATAGTGGAGGTGGGCCGCCTCATCTGGAACAATTAAACATTAAACTTCTTCAGGGAAAATTAGCCACAGCGCTATTTCAAACAGAATCTATTTAAAGAGTGTAACTATGTGCTGTCTCCTACTAAGTACATTGCTCACAGAATGAAACAACCAGCATCCACAGGGCTTACCACCTCGAATGAACATGGTCCTGAGGGAAATCATGACCTAGCTGTCTTAATAAGACTGTATGCTCTCCTCTAAATGACAACACGTTCATGCATTTCCCCCAATGGTTGTTGGATGTCAATTTGGAAAATATAGGAATTTGCCGGCTTAAGAAGAAATGGATGGGTGGCTGTACCAAAGACTTGTGTTACATCATCAAATAGTGTGACAAACATGTTTCACTGATCTTTGATAGTAGTTAAGGGGAAATCTTAAAGGAACACTGAGACACTGAGAAGTTGTATTAAATCTTTCTTTCTTCTTCATCCTGCTCTCTGTGTTCGGCAGAAGACCGATTGGGAGGTGGCCATCAAGAGCATTAATAAGAAGAACCTGTCCAAGTCCCAGATCCTTCTTGGCAAGGAAATCAAAATCCTGAAGGTGAGCATGACACTTCATGCCTCTCATTTATCTCTTTGGTGTACTTAAAGAATGATCTGACATTGACCTTCTGTGTGAGTCTGCACCTTTGACAGAAAGGAGCCTCTACTTCCCTGATAGAAATGTCAGTGAAAGTGATTCTATTAGCTGCTGTGTTGTCGCCTAGTTAATCTTCCTGCTCATGCATCTTGTTTTTCTGTTTCTATTCAGGAGCTGCAGCATGAAAACATCGTGGCGCTTTACGATGTACAGGTAAGGGTTTTCTGTTATATTTTCTGCATCAGATTGATGTAAGCTTAATGGAGAATGATGTAACCAGTCACTTTAATTATTCAATAGTGTTTGGGTATTTATCTCCATTGAGTGTTGTCTTTTAGTGGCAGATGTGTCAGATGTTGTCTGTACCAGTATCTATGGAGCTTGAATCTAGTCAAATGAATCTACAAATCTCATAAGATTGTCAAGAGGATCAATGTTGCCATTGGTTAGTCCTTCAATTTACTGCTGAGTAAGGCTACCTTCTCAGCACCTGGCTGATTCAGGGTCATACTATTGCAGTGTTTCAATAGCATCAGTCCGTTCGTCAGGGTTGAGCTGTGTAGCCTCTACAAAGTCAGTCGGAGCACAGCTTCTACTGCAAACCTGACAATGGAGTTTAAGCCAGAATGCGCCAAAGCGACATTTGACTGCCTTAAAACTTCGTCCATTATGGACATGATTTTGAGTGTATATATTAAAAATGATAATAATATTCAACAAAACATCATGCAATGATATTGTCACACCAAGTACAGACCTGTATCTTTTAAAAAGGAGATATTGCTAATAAATTGTAGTCTGCATGTCCTTCACTGGCACACATCTTTTACATAGCTTGTAAAATGGGCTTTGTAATATCTTTAGGCTGACCTATGGCATCTTGGCAGATATCGCCCAACCCTTCTGTTGGCTTTAATCTGGTAAATGTGCATTACAACCAGGGTTTGTACAAGATACAAAAGCACTGCTTTGTACTGTGTTAAAATTTAAAAAGTCAGTCAAGATTGTGTCTTGACTGACATCATTATGTGACTTAAATTAACTTTATCATTGTTCTAATGTATCACTAAATGTGAGCTACAGTAAATCTCTCTGCTTTTCTAGATACAGATTAACTTGAACTTGTTTTTATTATTGATTTCATCAAAATACTAATTGAAATATTTGTCATTAGCACAGCTCTGGTGAATTACACAAGTTTGCTGCATAAGATTAAAAATATACAACTAAGGATAGAACTAGTAGATAAACAGCAGATAAACAGGCTTTAATTTCAGAGAAAAGGGCAGCGGCATTATACAGTACTGCAAATAAGCCATAATCTGAACACTGGTACTGAGGCTTTAAAGTCTTGTGTGCTCATGTGACTAATGACCCACACTGCTTTGCAGTAATTGTTCAGTTCATCTGCCCTTTATCGTGGGACATGGCTTCTCAAAGCAGGCACTCATCAAAACTGCCTTTCCATGGCTCTTACACACTTCGGGACTGCAGAGAGCTGGATGTGAATCTGCAGTTTCATGCATTTCTATGAATAGATTTTACAAGGCTACATCACCCAAACAAAGCATGTTTAATACTTTTGGCCAAATTGTGTAGCCTGTGGAAAGTATGAAGTATGAGTCAGTGGAAAGAGTGCATTGTACTGAATCTGAAAGACTATGCTGTCAGTACACTGTCACATATACAGCACACTGGTTAATGCCTGTCTGAGGGCCCGTGTTTGTGTGTTAAATGAGCACAGACACAGCTCAAATCCCCTTTGTCCTTTGGCTGGGAGCTTGGCCCATATCACATATTCCTGGCACATCCATCTGCAGACCCCGGTGGTTAAAGAAGTGTTGCTGGAGGCAGAATATTTATCACATCACTAGCATTTATCACTGGTACTGTACTGTACTCTTGTTATTACTCTTGTTATTACTCTTGTTACTCTTGTATACTGGTGTAGTGCATTAGTTAGGGCTGCCCTCTAATAGTCGACCTACTTCGTATTAGTTGGATAGTCACACAGAACCAAAAACAATATCAAACTCCGTTCGAGAGTAATGTAGCGGCCCTGTTAGCTGAATCTAATCCGGACCGGGAGCTCAAAGGACAGGCGGAGGTTTGTTTACGCTACTAGCATAGGAGAAGTCTGCGTTGTTTTTGTGAAGTTGAAAGTTATTTATTCCATGTTTTGACGAATTAATGTGATGTTATACTGTATTGAAATAAATGAACTTGATGTTCAGTCTCCTTGCTGGTTGTTCTGACACATTCAGATTCATTATCGTGTTTGCCAGGCTGCTGTTAAAAATGTATATTTAAATAATTTAATTAATATCATAAACGTGCAACGACTAGTCAACTATAGGCTTAATGGAACGGCTACTAGTCGACTAGGAAAATCATTAGCCGGGGACAGCCCTAGCATTAGTGATGTTATTAGTTGTTCTACACAGAGAGGAGTTATTCCTGATGATGGTGGGTGTTGTGAGAGGCTCTGATTGCCATATTTTCCAACCACACAAGTTAAGCCGATGTTTGTATTTGTAGTTTTTCAAATAAAACTTGTAGAGAACAAGGACACTTTAAAATGATGTTTCCCACTGTGTAAACACATTATAGCAATAGCTGTGGTTCTGTTGAGAGTTCTGAAAAATCTTAGTGTCTCCCCTCTCCAGACTTCTGTCATTAGGTGCTTACCAGCAGATGTTGTAGAAATGTGTGTTTGTTATAATTTCCTAAGCTGGCTACAAAAAACCCTTCAATTTAGGTGTACTTCCAATAAGAGATACAGAAGGAGAAATGAAGAGTGAGGTAGAAACGTTGAAGTAATGATGAAGCACTTCCCACATAGTAATAAGCAATACTTCCTGTGTTGGTGTAAGCCTCCCACAGGATCAGTCTTCACCCTTCCACTCATACACTCATCTCCTCATCCCTCCATCAGTCCTGCTGATGTAATAACCTCTTCCAGAGGCAGATGGCTGAGGGGCCCAGCCATAAGTCAGCAGCCAGGATACAGTAGAAGAGGTAGCTTCTTTCCCTGATTTAAAGACACATACAGTGTGACTGATCTGTTTTTATTCCTTGAAAATGAAGAAGAATCATAGCTTTAAAGAACATGTTCATTTGTAATAATTTATTTAGCAATCACACAAGTTAATTATCTTTAGCAGGAAGCTAAAGTGACTCAAATAACAGATAGCATATGCATTTCTTTTTTATGTCTGAGAGAGTAGAAGAAAGGATATAGCTGGTGCAAGCCATAATGAAAATGTATCATGTCATGGTACTAGAAGGTCAATCATTGGGTGTACAAATAGTTTCTATCATCCTGCCAAAATGGATCGTTTGGACAGTTTGGCATGTAGGGGCATTTGGTGTCTTGCCGAGAGTTAGATAACAAGATGGACACAGTACTACTCTCGTATATCTCCATTTAATCTGAAGATGCAGCCAGCCAGCAGCCAGTTAGCTTAGCTTAGCAGGAAAACTGAAAACAGGGAAAAATAGATGGTTTTGGTTAGTCTGTACAGAGAAACTTTGAACAAAAACCTTTATAATCAGGGTTGTAATACATTTGTCTTTGTATTATATTTGAGCTAATACAGTTGTTATTGGGCTAGAGGTTGATCGTGAGTTTGAAGCTTTGAATATTTATTTTTCCACAATAAAAGACTAAATCAGGGGACAAATTACTCAAATAGAAATCAACACTAGTCACCCAACCTCAAACCAAGAAACACTGTGGTCCAGACAGACACGAGCTAATGCTGCTGTTTGTTTTGATGGATTCGCAGTTCCTCTAAGCACACTTTATCAATTATGTGGTTCGAGTTAGTTTGTTTCTGCACTTCCTCTCTTTCTTTCTTCATTTTGTTTACCTGCTTTCTGTCACCTTTGCCTCTGTTCCCTGTAACATCCACTGGACTGCTCTAAAGCATTTGGCACAGTGTCTTACTGTGTCCTTGTCCTACCAGCTGGCTTTTCTTTTTTCAGTCCCCTGCATTATCTGTCTGTCTGTTGGTAGTCAGTCTAATGCTGTGCATTTCCTCTCTTGGCTACTATCAATAGAGTCTGGTGTGTTGAAGCCCTTTGGTAACCAAGACCAACTGGCAGCTGCCACTTTTCTTTCCCCTTTTTTCATTGTTTCCATTCTTTGTTTATTGTGAATATTTAGCTTACTTTTTCCAGTTTCTTGTGTGCCCTTTATCATCACTCCTTCTCGCATCCCTTGTTGGCTGCTTCAGCCTCATCAGCTGTTGTTGTCGTTGTAAAACCTTGTGCTATATGACTGGGTTTAGCCAACAGAACAGAAAATGTAACCCGAGCTGGTTTGTTCAGCTGTCTAGTAACCCCTAGGCTCTAAATTTGATTAGAAAAAGCATAGATCTTGTATTTCTTATACTATACTTGTAAGTGTCTTTTTTGGGCTTTTCTTTTGTAGACACTGTTAAATGGCTGTCCATTAAAGCATTTCCAACATTTGGGCAGTCGAAGTAAGTCTGAAATTCGCTGAGATTTTGACCTAGATTAGCCAGAAGTCCGCCAACGTTTTTGTCTTTGCCAACAAGATATGGGTTACCTATTTATAGTCTGATAATAATGACCCATAAACCCCGCCCTCTGACCTGTCTGGTGTATACACTGCGGGTGGTTACTGATAGGCCTGCTGACAGTTGTCGGCTGCTGGGAAAGGGCAAGTCTTTGAGTCAATAGGAGCCTTGTGACGTGACGATGGTGAGAGTGTTTGACCTTTTGATAAGCACGATGCTGCTAATGCAGTGGTTCATCTTTGGTTCAGGGATGGAGATGCTGACACACACTGCTGTAGTCAAAACCAACAAAATGGAGTTCAAGTTATGTCCAGGACGGTGCGGTTGAGTCTGAAGTCCAAACGGGGGTGGAGATTAAGTCAGGGTTGGGATCAGACTTGTTTTTAGCTACACTACAGTCTGTTGGTCTGTTGGTAGATGGTTTCCCCACTTTGGTCTAGACTGAAATATCTCAGCACTAGTTGGATTGCAATGAAGTTTTGTATAGACATTCATCTGTTCCCAGAGGATGAATCCTACTGACTTCTGCATTCTCCTGACCTTTCCCCTAGCTCCATCATGAGGTTTGTGGCTTTGAATGAACTATCTCATCCACTATTGGATGGATTGCTATGAAATGTAGTGCATGTTCCCCACAGGATGTGATGTAATGACTTTGATGATCCTCTGACTTTTCATCTTGCACAACAATCAGGTCAAAATTAAAATTTGCTATTTGACCAAATACCTGAAAAATTAATGACATTCCCATCAGACTCCCAATGGTAATCATTAGGCCCTTTAAGCATCTGCATGTTAGCACTGTCACTGTGAGCATGTTAGCATGCTGATATTAGCATTTGGCCTGAAAGCACCACTGTGCTCACACAGACTCTGAGCTGCCGGTGTGGCTGTAGTATCAGTTGTAGCTAACAGGATGCCCACAAGCATTTGGCAGATGGCAATATGCAGGAGGAGGAGAAGTTCAACCCAAACAAGCACGGCATTTTCACAGTAGGATTATTACGATAAAAAATCATGAAACTGATGTATTATATCAAAGATATTTAAGTCAGATCACGCAGGTTAGGTGCTGTAATACTTTTCAGTGTTTGTTGTATCAGTTCCAGGGAACAGCAGTTAGAGTTTGACATGGACCAGTTTTTCAGCTCTAGTTTAAGGTTAAATAGCTAAATCCAATCCTAAATTATAATCTTGACTCTATAATTTCCCCTCGAAGCCCACTCAGGCTCACGCCACAGCTGACTATGTTTCTATTCACAGCACCATATAGACTAGACTGCATTGTACTGGTGTGAACACTGAATAAACAGTTCCGAGTAGAAGAACTGCTTATGTTCTTTTGTATGTTTGATTTAGTTTCACAATGGAGGTGTTCATTTACTTAACATCACATTGTGACATAATACCTTAACACTCCACTGCACTACCTCAGCAGTTCTTGTGTCCTTTGCTGAATGCATACACACAGTTCTTTCTCAGGTCTTCTTAGCCTTGCAGATTTGCACTGTATGTAGGATCAATGACTTAAAATCAGTAATATTTAGCTGAGTTAAATGTTTATTGTAAGGCAAACTGATTAGGCAAGTGTCAATGTAATAGTTGTTTAATTAAAAGATATTATAGGTAGGTAAAAGCATGTCCTAAATGTTGCTTTATGAAACTATGTACACGTGAATGGCCGCCAGCTTTTGTGAATGCAGTGAACCTCAGGCTGCTTGTGTGTGAGTGGGTAAAGAAGTACCAACTACCTGCCTCCCTCTCAGAATAGCTGTGCATTGACAAAAGACTGCAGGGCTGGATGTGGGAGTATGCGCACCCATGACAGATTGCAGTTCCCTTTTCCTGCTGTAGTTTGCAGCAGCTCTGCTGGTTTGTTGCTTTTAATGACAGTCTTGAGCACACAGCTGAGCGGCTCCCCGTCCTCCTTCATGGAGCCGTTAATGTTAAGCGAGCTGCAGCAGTGTGAGGTAGACGAGTCTAATTATAAGGTGTCCTGTGTCAGGGCCCTATGGCTCTCTCTCTCCTCTCTCCCTCACTCACGTTGCACATTACAGCCATGTTGTTTTATGGTTTGTTTTCATTTTACAGTGTAAAATCATTAGCCATGCATTCATCCAAGGTGGCCAGAATTTGAAATTCCCCCCCACTGCCGAATGCTGCAAAATTGTATTGTTATGAGTATCCCACCACACATGCTGTTAATTATAATGTAACTATACACAAGTAGTTATATTCACTATTTGATAGGGATGTCCGATAATATCGGCCCTCCGATATTTATCGGCCGATATTCACTAAAAA